AAACAATCTCACATGGCTTTGCCAAACAAATGGGGAAATGACAACTTAAACTAACCTTTATAATCATTCGATGGATTTTTTTCTCCCATTTTCATTGGCTGGGAGCCCACCACGTGACCTGCAAATAACTGCCTACAAATAATGGTCTGCTCATGCGTACTACCTTCTAACTCCGTTTTTGCTGCAAATAATATTCTGGTCATGCGCAGTAATAACCACGCTCTTGTGGTCGCTTTTGTGGTAGCAGTGAATGCAAAAATTGAAAACAAACTCGCTTGCCGCTTCCCCCAAAAAATTGAAAACAAACTCGGTGATCGAAAGATAAAACAATTATTAAACTCGGTTATCGCAAAATATCGTGATTTGTCAGGGTCTCGCAGATCGCCACGGACAGATCACGATATTTTGATCAACTTCGTCCAATAATTTTTAATTATCACATCGCAGACGAAAGTCATAAAAAGATATCCTAGTAACAGCTAAACTCTGTGGAGAAAAAGATTTCAAGGCGGTAGTACTTTTTATGAAGAAACTCAATCTGAAGTTGAACGCGTAAGCAGATTCCATACATGCCAAACTTTTTGTTTAGATTTTTTAACCATTTATCGTTATGAAACGTTTTAAGCAGAACCTATAGTATTGTCGTTTTAGTAGTGAGGCTCTTCAACTTTTCATTCTCTTTGACCCGATAATGGCGCTATATCGATGTCGAAACGTCCTCGACTAGGTTTTTTTTAGCCTCTTTTAAAGATGTATTGTAATGGTTTTAGAGGTATTTTATTGCAATCTTTTATCGTCAAAAAGAAATTCCACTTGTAAAGTAAGACCGCCAATGAACTAGGAAATGATCAACTGGCTTATTATAACTTTTTACCGGATGGCTTATGGTGATATATTTCTTCCATTCAAATTCCCAACACCAATATAAGGAAGCTCTTATAATGCTTTTACATAAGATATAAAAATCAGGGATTCTTGTCGAAACATCTGTTTTGACTAGCCAATAGCAAGGACCTTATTCAATTGTTATCGTTTTTGCTGATTCTTCAAGTGAATAGAAACGAGGAATCTCGAAATTTTTAAGTACAGTGCTTCGCTTTTGTTTCAACGCTTTGTTCGCTCTGTCAGTAGAATAAAAAAGAAGATAATCATTATTCATTTGGTGGCTTGTCAGAACAAGTCTAAGCTTTGATTTGACAGAGTATTGGTCAAAGATCGTTCTCAACCGTCATCTTTGACATTATTTTTTGTCTTTGACACGCAAATTATTAATCAAAACCCCGTATATATATCAAATCTAGCTAAAAAGACTCACTCCAATGATTTGAAAAACAGGTCGTGATTTAAGATACAGAAAAGGCCGAATTTATTTACATGACTTTAAATCATTCAACCATCTGGAACATCAACTGAGGGTACGAGTACACATCGTAAAAAACGGACAAATTGATAAGTATTTCCAATAAACTCGAGCGGCTAAAAGTCTAATGATAACTGACAACGATACATGCCCCCAGAATACTGCACTGTGAAAGGTCCGAAATACTATAATGGGAAAGAAACACGTATTGTATCGTTAAATTGAATCCTCTAAATTTTCAGAGATTAATGGCGAACACGACTCGACCTGAAAACTACCAACTTGAAGCAACTGCACCACCTCAATGCTCCAATGTACGTGGCCTGTACCAAAGCGTGGCTCTCGCTGCTGTAAACAGCTTTCTGTCCATCCTTGCATCTGTGGGAAATTTTCTCATTCTCGTCGCCCTTCACAAGGAGTCTTGCCTACGTCTGCCATCAAAGCTGTTGTATCGTTGCCTTGCAGTCACTGATCTTATCGTTGGCTTTCTTTCTCAGCCTCTGTTTGCCACCCAGTTAATGTTGGATGTGAACGAACTGTCTCAGGTGTGCTCTCGTATTCAGATGCTGGCAGCTAAGATGGGCTTGGTTTTTAGTGGAGTATCCTTAATGACAGCAACCGCAATAAGTGTGGACAGACTTCTCGCTCTGTCACTTGGCCCGAGGTACAAACAAGTTGTGACGCTGAGGCGAGTTGGTGCAGTTTTGAGCTACTGTTGGTTGACAGGTGGAGCTAGCGCACTGATTTATAGCTTGTGGAAATCCATCGTCGGAATCCTCAAGACAATAGTAACTTCACTCTGCTTGATAATTTCCGCTTATAGTTACACGAGAATAATTTTTCGCCTCAGCCATCATAAAGCTGTTATACAAAGCAAGGTTAACCCAGAAAAGCCAAACGCAGGAGGTGTTCCTCTGAACATAACAAAATACCGAAAAACTGTATCTGCAGCACTGTGGGTCCAGATAACATAATTGGCTTGTTATCTGCCGTTAGTTTTGGTGAAACCACTTCAATCTGTTTTCTCCCTCAGTGAGGTATCATCTACCGTTGTTTCCGGATATACATCGTCTCTTGTGTTCTTCAATTCAACACTAAACCCATTTCTCTATTGCTGGATGATGAGAGAAGTGAGAAAAGTAGTAGGGGACATATTGAAATGGTACTGTTGTAGGATCAGCTCTTAGATTGTTCCGTTTAGTGAAATTCTTTCTGTTTAACAGTGTCATTGATCATGCGATTTTTCTTACCTGGCGCGGTACAGAACTTGCACCAGTTGCAATATTGTAGACACTGATTTTGATCAAGAACTGTGTGCTATTTCTGAAGGAATCCATTTTCAAGCTAGTATTCTGGAGAAGGGACTTTGTACAAGAGAAGGGACTTTAATTTGAACTGGATAAGGCTCCCGCGGTTAAAACTAAACCCGTTTAATCAAATGAACTATACGTTCGTGGTAAGTTACCATTAGTTATCTGTAATCCTGTGCAAATATTCTAAAACTGAAATGATACGCTGAGAGAATTAATCAAGACTGAAATCAGGTGGTGTCTTGTGCCAAGTCTGTTTGAATTGATGATCCTGTGTGGCAAAAAGCGACAGAGTTGTGTAACTTCGCTTAGTAAGATGTATTTTCTTCGTCAAACGGCAAAAATATACTCCCAAACTTTCTCACTTAACTTGAATCCTTTGACAAACCGTGTAATTACATGGCAAAATTTTTCATGTTTACACCTCATGCAAATGTTTTCTCTTGGTAAATGAAGTACACAGTAAAAAGTTAAATTTGGACATTTGATGTTTGCTGTAAACTTATGCTTTGAAGAACTGAATATCTATGAAACCCGTTCCTCTACCGCTTGAAGATGAGAGAAGTGAGACAGGCAATAAAGGACTCCATTAAAAAGTATTGTTGTCCAAATAGTTAAGGCGTCTATTTCAATGCATTACTAAGTTGTTTTAAACTGTAAAGATATCGATATTGAGACACTTTACAATGAAGTGAAGTTGGAGGCTTTTAAAAAATTTTTACCTTTCTCATTCTTTCAAGTCATCTGAAGCTACTTTATTTTCGTGATTAAACCTACACTTTAATACGGATAAATTGTCAACTGAAAACGGAACTCTTTGAAAAATGCTAGAGTCACTACTCTTTGCAATTCTTGCCAGAAAAATTAAGCCACTGTTGTGCGCATGCTCG